CGAATACGTTTCATGTGCTGAAGTCTCGTCAATCGCTAATTTATTTGAGTTTTAGCCGTGTTTCTTTCGGTGCGTAAAATCGTGTTGCAACTTTGGGACCTAGAATGAACATTTGTTATGATGAAAGAAGCTTTTTATATACAGTAGTTACCCAACTAACAGTACCCAAATAACGCAAGGAAAACTTGCGAATACCTGATATGTTACGAGCAAGAATTTGTTGAAACGATATTCGACCTATAATCAATCGGAATTCGCCGTCCTGTACAGTTTGTAGACTAACTTGTGAAAAGGATTGATTGATGAAGCTATGGGTGACAATGAACACTTGACAATTCTGTCACTGCGCCGTGTGACCTTTCAGACAGGGAAATATTTCTTCGCCGGAAGAAAGCGAGGTCACTTGTCGTGCCGCACGCGCGGAGACCCAAGGGCTCGCTAAATACCGAGGAGGACACTCTCAACTGCAGGCAAAGAGCGAAAACGTGACGCATGCGAGGGGTACTTCGAAAGATCTAGGATATGTCTAAACCATTTGCGCTTATAACTAGTTCAACGCCTTTATTTTTAAAGCTAGTTTTTAAATCTTAAACATTAAAATATTTGCTTGAGTCTGCATTATATTTCATTTCGAAGTTGATGCGATTTTCATTTATCTCAATAAAACCAACGCCAAGGTGAAACCACGGTTTCAATTATACAAATTTCGAAGCGCAGCTCGAATCGGCTCTTTGAAAGTTTCAAGAACCTTCCCGGGAAGATCTTCTTGCCAGTTCTGCAGACTGTGAAAAATTAGCAGTATATGCCAGAGTAATCGGAGAGCAGGGTTAAAAAAAAATTCTGTAATATTGATGACTCGTTGTCATATTGACACTGAGTATAAAGGTTGATTTCCATGTGAAAAAGAATGTCACCCACGACGATGGACAGTGACAAGGAGTTACTCATTAAAAATCAAGGTGGTTACTCTAACATATTTTTAATTTCCCGCCTGGTCAGTTTAAATGCTTTTTTTTTCGGGGTCAATTCCATGATACTGTAAAATCGTCGAGAAAGCACTGCTGCTTTCCATTGTAACCTTCGGGTGGCAGAGTGAGAATATTCTTTTCAAACGGGTTAGATGTATCAAATAAAATTTTCAGCGTCCGCATTAGATGCAAAAGTCTAAAAATTATTTGCGTTTCGTCCGCTTCAGCGAATTTCCATTTATTACACACACCGAAATTCCCGTATGATTTAGCCGTTTGTTTCTGCATTCCTCCCATAGAATCCACAGCGGAAATCTTCACACACAATATATTGTAATTGAACTCTGACAAAAGCTTGTAAACATCTGCAACTCAACTCGCAGTATTTTCATGATATTATGCCGAACCAAAACAAGCCAACATTGTGAAGAAACCGCACGCAAAGTTTTTCAGCCATTTTATGGTTAATGACCAAAATCGATGGAATCCGCTTTATTGGTGCTATTGCAATAATATGTGTATACTTTGCTGGTGAGCTTTTGAATTTGGGAATAGAATCACTAAGAAGTAACTCTCAAGAGCCAAAGGAATCAAAGAAATCGCTCAATTCGGTTTCCAACAAATGACCAGGAATTCCAAAAACTTTTTGAAATTACCCTCTGATGTCGACGGTGCTGAACAGCGGAACAAGAGTCGGTGTCGGTGCACACGCGACAACCGTCGCCAGGGAAGAGAGGAAAGTGCGAGGGTTAGTATTGAAATTTCCGCCATGGGCTTGCCAACTTTACTTCAGAATTTGAATCTTTCAATTTCGGCAGAAGTTCATAGGTTCATTGGTTCCTATAATCCCTTTTCAATTTTAGTCGAAGAGGAATCTATCCGAAATCAAATATTTCGCGTATAGCTATCACTCGGAATTGTCTCCCCGTTTCAAGAGGATGACGAATAAATTTGATGATGAGAGTAAATATAAATAATTATTCGCTATATTTTAGAAGTGCATTATTAAAGGTATTTAATTTGAAACGCTAATTTCTAAAACAAGGAATCGCTAAAATTAAAAAAACCCTCCTAGGATACAATTTTAGCGTATAAAACCTTGCCTGGCAACAGGTTCTTCAAAAACATTTTCGGCGTAACTTTTACATCAATTGTTGAGCTAGCATCGCTGCTTTATTCGGTATTAACCTTCAGGTGGCATAAAAAGAATCCAATATTACTTCATTTCAAAGTTTTTTTGCAACCGGATACAAATAGTAAAAAAAACATCATCAGATCAACGAAGAATAATCTTTCCAAAATTGTTGGCCACCAAAAAAAAAATCAAAACCTCGCTCTTGGTCACAAAGATCACCTTTTCCAAGCTCTTATGGTTCCTAACATCGCTTTTATTTCAAAATAAATTCAGAACCACAAAATATACCTTCATTATTCAGACTTTTTTATTCCGGTTTGAAAATTGAGGTTTCCTTAGTAAATTCAAGAGAATCAATGGGACACTGTAGGGTAAATACAGCAATAAAGGCATTTACTGTTTACGTACGGTAAAATAGTTCTTCCATCAAAACTCTCTTTTTAACACAGGTGCCCTTTCTCTATATACTGTACAAGGAAGTTCTCTCTGCAGCGATTTTTTCTGGTCCCTTGAATTTAATTGTAGAGAGAGAGAGAGAGAGAGAGAGAGAGAGAGAGAGAGAGGGAGAGAGAGAGAGAGAGAGAGAGAGAGAGNCCAAGAAAAATTAGTCAAGGTAAACAACTGCAAGAGATAGAGAGAGAGAGAGAGAGAGAGAGAGAGAGAGAGAGAGAGAGAGAGAGAGCACCTGGAAAAAGGGAATTAGTATTATCATGGTTCCCTTAAGTTTTTTCACAAAAATGTTTCCTGGTTCCTTGAATTTTGTTGCAGAGGGCCCACCTAGAGGGAGAATTTCATTATATACAGAACCAATATTTCACAGAGAAAAAACTGTATGGGAACAGAACAGAATCTTTTATATACTGCATAATATATAGAGAATAGCATTGAGCAGCAATGGGTGCCCCAATATTCAACCCTAAAATTGTATATCCATTTCTGGACTGGGGTCAAACTGTGAAGCGGTTGAATTGCAAATCAACATTAAATTCAGTGCTTGCTACATTATATTTGGCATTTTTGCCCTTCTCTGTGGGTTGAATTGTAGGGCAGAGATTGAATTGCAAGAGTTGACCACCCCACAAAATCAACAATCAAATTGCGGGATGATCAAATTGTGCAACGTACCACCGGATTCATGTAGATATGATCATTATATAGAGAGTCCAGCTGCTATTGAGGGAGACTCAAGTACTATTGTATTACCCCTCGTTTGTGCCGTGTCGAGAAAATCCGTGAAGGGCAAAAAAGAAACCCTTCAGAGGGAAGGCACAGTATATAAAATTGCTGCTTCCCCGAAGTCTCTCTTGGCTTCCGCCACTCAGAGGCAGGTTCCCGCGTACACAACAATGCAGAAAATGGGCGCGAGGTTTTCCGCTGCTTCGATAAAGCCGCGATTTCGCGGCAACCGCTTTGGCTCTTTCTCTGCGATGATGACCCCATACAACCACGATGTCGATGTCGAGAGTGAGTATGTGTTGTGTCACATAAGCGTCGGCCTTTGTTCGAGTGACAGCTCATCGCGAATAAGCAACGGAACAAGCAGAAAAAAACCTATATTTTATTGTTTTTTATTTATTATCATTTCAGAAGTATGTCATAACAAAGAATTTCGTTATTTGACGAGTAATCAAGTAAAGCGAATTCACTTTTTCGGGTCCCTGTCCATTTACTACAACAGATTCAGTGATTCTCTATGACAATCGAGCTATTTTATTTGCTCCAATATGGCTTCGTTGAAATGAGATTTTACTGGATAAGAAGCTATTGTTTTTTTTTCGCAGAGAGACAATTCTTGAAACTTGCCGCAGAAACTTGACTGTAATGAATGATAATCCCTAGAGCATTATACTTGAACTTGACTTGACTTGACTTGAATTGACTTGAAGATATTGCAGTCAATTATTCATTTGGATAATTCCAGAACCAATACTTGGAAGTTTGATACATTTTGCGAGAATTTTCAACTGCTTGTTGGAGGATAAAACATTGATACGGCTGTCGACTTTTTCGGTCATACTTTTCGAAATTCAAAATTTGTGACCCCTCATGCTGAGCTGCAGTTGAAAATAAGAATTTAAAAGTTGAAGCACAAAAATTTAACCCGAAAGTTTACTGAGTCGTTTTGTGCTCAAGGAGTCCGTGTTTTTCGTCAATTTTGAATCTTATGGGTTCTCGAAATTTAAAATTTGATTTTTTAGAAGTCTCGAATTTTTCAAGCATCGAATTTTTCAACCATTTATACTTTGCATTTCTACGTCTTCGAAGTTGGAATGAAGAACTATCCTTTAATTTTGTGAACCGTAAAATGTTGGCACGAAAGGATACAGAAGGTGAAGAAAAGCTGCAACTCTTCCTTTACCTTCTTTTTTTCTCAGGTCAAGAATATTTGCAGGTCATCAGAAATATTCGGGAGAAAAATTCAGGAAATTTTTTATCGAAAGTTAAAGAGAAAGATTCCAAGTTTGTTTGACAATTTTCCGTTTCCATGATTCCATGGCTCATCATGATTCTGCTTTGTCATAAAAAGAAATCCAGATATATACAGTATACTCGCAGAAAAACTCCGAATCAAGGCATTTATATGTATCTTAAAAATTCCGACAGTGGCAGGATATCATTCGCAAAGATTTTGAATATCATTGAATGTGTTCACGGAACACATTACAGCTCCCTGCGAAAAAAAAACACAATAAGACTTTGACTAATTCTGCGGTCATTTCTTTTAATTTTTTTTCTTCTCTCAAGTGCGTGATGGTTATTGACTGGCGGTGGGTTTGACGCGCTCGTCGATTACGAGGGGGCGTGGAATATGGTGCGGGTGTCGTTATGGAAACGCCTTTCGGGTTGCTGCCTCAACACAAAAATAGGTAGCGAGCGAGTGAAATTGTTGACGAAATATGAAAGACCGCGAGTGGGTTTTTCGCGGAACCCGCGAAGTTCAGTTCCGACTCGTTTCCCTGGGGCCAACTTTGGCAGCTAAGACCAGTCGGGTTCAGGCAAGCCAGTGAGGGACACGTTTGTGTTAATCAAGGATGAGAGTTCAAAATCCAAATTTAAAATGAAAACCATCCGAAAAGTTCAATCCGCTGCAGATCGAAGAAAATGAACACCACAGATTATCCCACAATGAGTGAAAAATGTCGAATAAATGACGATGTCGCAGAAATATCTTCATGAGGGCTCTGATTATGATTGGGAAAAAGTTGTTCCATTCACATCGTAAAATTCAAATTCATTCACAGAAAGTGGTTTTTTGCATTGCTTTTAAATTATACTAGAACATTTTCCCCTTAGGCGTACCTAAATATCCACGCTATAATTAAAGATAAATTAATAGGAACTACAGTGCATACAAGTACTGTACGTTAAACAGTGTCACTTTTTCAGGCCTGTTGTCTGAAAATAAGGAACAATAGTGTCATGTATTTTATAGTCATCTGAAATTGTTCTCTCAACATCAAGAACTTTGGTGAAATGGAGAAACAATATTTTTGTATGCGGCAGGTTAAAGGTTTTTGTTCCAAAATCTGAGGGCATGTTGCTATAAAAATTAACATTCCTTATTTTAAGTATGTCATCCTAAGATTTGAGTGTGTCCTGAAATATGCTAACATTACCCCATTTTGGTTGTGGTTTTCCCTGCTGTGCTTCTGCAAGCCTGGTTACAAACATTCTTGCTTAATAGATTATGTCCGGTTCCCAGTTGTTTGCCTTTTGACCACCCTGTTTCAATTTATGTGTATGCATGGTCATGTACCTCTCTTGTCTGATACTTAAAGTCTATAAAGGATAGTCACAGCAATCCTCCATCATTCATTGTTGGTCTGATTCAACTTGCTTACATTGGATTTGGGAACTGCATATATTTGCACTTGAGAAATGAGAAGTTGTATCATTTTCACATTCAGCCATAAAAGTTATTACTTCTTGACCTGCGTTGTCCTAACTGGTAATTACAGAACAAAGGAAATTGCTCTGCCAAGGAGACATTCAACGTGGTTGTATTTATTTTGAGCAATTCTGGTGACATCATAGGATAACAATGAAAATACTAGATATTCAAGAAATCTTAGATGAACCATTAGAAGCGCAAACTGCTTTACACTTTATCCCGGCAAGTTTGTTTGAAATTGTGACAGGTAACCACCAGCATATTTCTGTTGTCAGAATCATCATATATTTCTTCAACAAGGTAACAAAAAGTTGTAAGAAAAAATACGCAATGAAGCAGCATTTTACTCCCAAAAAAGACCCATTTTCATGACTACAGTATTCAGAATCATTTCAAGACTTGTAGAACTAGGACAACCTTTTCCTTTACGCCTTCAACCTTCTCAAAGAAAGAGTTGGCCTAAGTCAACTTTCTATTTTATCAGTATATCTTCGATTTTTTGAATGTTCATGCTAACAGTATTATGAACCAGTTATACATGAATATAACCAAATATTGGAATTAATTCAAAATGATGATTAAATGAGCTTTCAATAATTGTACCTTACTAAAAGCCGTTCATTTTCCACGTCCACGTTACGTACCAGACGCGAAATTTCAACTTGTGTCTCCGTCCATTTTTTTACGGTTATTGCACAAATGAAGTCGCCATAATTGCCTCTTCTATTTCATAATGGTCGCAATCAGAAGCCAGAAAAATATCAAGAAGAAACGTGTATTCAATTGAACATAACGCAAGAATTCACGAAGACTTTTTTGTTTCTAATTCATAAAAAGGTGTTCCCGGAATGTGTACTTTTTTGCGTCATTCAAATGAATGGAGTGTACTGTACGTGAGAACCTCATTTTAATAAAAAAATAAAGCATTGTATGAGTTCTTAGAATAAACTTTTGTTCCCACTGGTTGTATGACTTGACTTATGATCGTATGGTTTCCCAGAATAAAACCAGACGCATACCGTGTAATTAAGTTATATTTTTCGTAGTCCCAGACTCTCCATCACACGGCATTTCTGGATTCTTCAGCTAAAAACTGAATAAAAAATATGTATTAAGCATGAAGCCAGTAATCAAGCAAGCCTACCAAAATCCATATCTGTGCGAAAATTACCTCAGACAAGCAAAAACACGTAGTCCTCCAAAGAATGAAAAACAAAAACAAAAACAAGAAAGAACACATAAAAGGATGATCCGACGTTCAGTAAAAATTTACTTTTGTGACGCACGGAAGCGGGACGGGAATTACAGCAATAGAGCAGGCAGTGATCGATAGGCCAGCAAGGAAGTCAGCAAGGCCGACCCTTCGGCATCGTCGAGGGAGAGCGCAGAATTATTTGCACGCCATTCTCGGAGCTGCTCGACGCAAAAGTGCGACGCGAAATGTCTCCCCTTGCCTTCTTTGTTTCTCCCTTCGACCCGCTGGTGATTCTGGAATATGCGAGAATGGTTTTTGCCTGTTCTTTCGCCATTTTTAAAACGTTATTGCTAGCAAATGTAGCAATCCTTAAATTTCGCGACGAGAATTTTTCAAATTAATTCGGAATTGGATCCTTCATGCTTTAATTGAGTTCACTAATTTTCGGTAGTATTCCCGAGATCGTTCAGTAATATTTTCGAAGTAGAATCACATAGTCGTGCAGTTTCCCCTTGGATAAGAGATGCATTTCTTCAACATTTTTTCTAAAATACCTAATTTTTTGCTTTATTCTGTACTTTAAAAGAATGAACTGGCAAATAATATACATTCGAAATGGCAAAAGTGGCAAAGTTTCGAATGCCGAGCAACTCAATCGAAGCTTAACACACCTGTGCCTCAAATTTTTGCATAAATAATGCCTCCAAATGCTATAAAAACCAATAAGTCAAAATTCCAGCGCATTTTGGCATTGAGATTCGTAAGTGATAGTTGTTTCACTAATCTTTATAGGTTGGAAAGACAGAGTATTCTTATATAATTCATTTAGAAGACCTATAGAATCTCTTGGAATATTATTATGAGAAGATTATGTGATCGAGTGCTTTATTCTTCTCGATCCCTGCAAATAATTCTGCCGAATTATTTTCCAGGGCCCGCTTCTTCTATTTCTTCATCAGTGTTACGGATTGTGAAGAACAACAACAGAATTAGTCACGAATTGAATTATGGGCTGACGTTTTCTGCGTTGTCGATTGCCCACAACATCCTGCGAAACGCGATTACGACGGTGATGACAAAACAGTGTTCCTGTCATGGGTTTGGAATCCGATTCATGCCCAATCCAGACCACCGCAATTCGATTCAAGTGGACGAGGATACAAAAGAACGATCCTGCTTCCAGCTTCTGTGCCAGTGTTTCAGCCCAACGGGACACCCGTCTATAGACTGCTGGTGTATGACTACGATCAAGCTACTCCCCTGCGCTTCACTCTCCTGGGTATTGATTTTTGACACAGAGACGACGAACTTGTCGCCATTTTATTTTTTGAAAGTCGTAATCCTTTAATTAAGGCATGGCAGCATTTCAATATGACTTCCTCTGATGATTAGCCAATTGCCACGCCTTTGACATGGCTGTTGAAACCCCGCTATATTATAGGCAGACTCTCCACTTCGATTAAGAAGGATTTTCTCTGTGAACAAAATTTTATTTGGGTTCCATAAGGGGTTTTGACAATTCCATGCAGGTTCTGTATGGGTTCTAAGCAATAAATTTCTCTCTACAATGAATTTTTCTGGTCCCCTGAATTTCATTGTGACGAAGAGAGCCAACTTGTGCTGTACAATAAGTTCTTTCAAATTTTCCATGTTCGTCAAAATATCCTTTGTTTTTTCGATATTTTGTTTACAAAAATGTCAAAGTGAATCAATTTTCAAAATCGGTCTCTTGCTGTGAACAACTTAAGCTAACATGTTTTTACCGCTTCGAAATTAAGCTCAATCCCTGGTGAATAATTTCCATTAGATTCATGAAAATATTGAGAAAAAAACTGAAATTCGTGTTGCAAACTTGATAATTATTAGGAATCATACTAATGAAAGAATTTACCTTAGCACAATAACCGTTGAAGGAAAGCTGTCGTTTAAAAATCTGATTAGTTGGTATGATTCACGAGGCATGTTATGAGTTTTCTCTCGTCTCAGCAACTTATATTGTACGTTGATGTGTGTGCAAAATTTGGGATCAACAAGACATATTGAGTGCAGTAAACATTTCCGAAACAGAAAATTGAATGGTATGAGAATGAGTCAAAAATCCCATGCGAGTTCAGGCAAAATTTAGTTGGTGATTCGTGCTGCAGGGATGCCGACTCAAAATTCCAAAATTTGCATTAGAAGAACGAATCTCAACCACATGTGTGTATCAAAAATCTCTCAAAATTTGGAATAGACTAGAATATTATTTGAAAATGATTTCAAGCTTCCAGGTGTCAGTCGCGCGTGTTTTTTTTAAATATTAAACACAGTATAGCATAATAGAAAAGTTCTGCCCCACACGTTTCTCTATTTTTATATTACCCGGACTATTTTCCGTGAAACCATGACAAAAAGTTTCCTAACCGTATGAGCAATGTGCAATATTCAAATCAAGCTAGCTAGTGTGCTAGAAATTATTCCAACTCGTGAACTTGTAAAAATAGAACAAAATTTGCCGAACACTGTCGGAAACGACAGTTGTAATTTTTGAACAGTAGCTTAACCAAAAAGCTGTCTGAAAATTAAATCCTCGAAAATTTCTCGAATTCTTCATAACAATTCTATCCCGGAAACTTTCTTGAGGACTGGCAGTAAATTTCATTCCTCCTGCGGTGTTAAGAGCAATTCAAACCATTCTTGAACTTTCGTAAATTATTTCCGCTAAACCCAATTTTTCTTCCTTGAAATCCCTTCGGCTGCAATTTTTGATTTTGGACGTTATATTTCATTCGATATTTCAAAGGAGATTCGAAAGCATTTTCACTCCTTTCCCTCGAAAACTCATATTTCCAGGGGCAGGAGCAGTGAATGCTTTCAGGATTCGAGCTTTGCCCTGTGATGCAGGAAGTACCGTATGTTATGCGGAAATATACCTCATTAAGCCTGTCGAGGCTGGAAGGATTTTCGACACCATCCTTGAAGCGACCAACAAAAATGGCGCCAGCAGAAAAGTCGATTGCAGGATCGAAATCACCAATTACACCACCGCAAATGCTCTGGCTTTCCCCAATTTCAACCACGAACCTATCGTCGTGCTAGAGGTAAAATGCTTGCTTCTGACAATTATAGTTTTGTATGTTTTTTTTTAAATCTCGAATAAAATGCTTCTCTATTTTCTCTTCTGTTTCAACAGAGTGCTTCAGCGGATTCGACTCTAAGGGTCATTCGGGTGAACAGAGACAAGGGCCAGAATCGTTTGCCAACTTGCGAGCTACGAGTAAGTGCAACTAAACTTTAATTCTATTTTTATTCTTCCTAAAAAAGTAAAAATGTGCAGTCATGTTTGTATGCAGTTATTCCATTTTATTCTGGCATTTCATCAGATTCCTGATTATTGATTCTATTGACATATATTGGGAACTGCGCGCTTTCTCTGGTATTGTATTAGCAAACAAGCTTGATATTCCGAAGGCGCAGTTATTTAAATTTCTTGGAAATTTATGCCTGAACATGATCACTTTACCATAGAAAAAAGGAAGATTCATCTCACCCTCTAACATGATAAAATATGGTTCCAAATTCACGTTTAGTTGCCCATACGCAAACCGGAACGTTGTACCTTAGTAAAAAATATAAAAACCTTGGTCCTAATAACGCCACAATGGAATTTTTACCTTCTTTTACTAAAGAAAAAACCTCATTGATTGCTTTATGTTTCGATAAAATCAGGGAGGGGACAATTCCTTCAAAATGGACAGAAGTCCCTTGCCGGAACAGAATTTGGACATCACCTTGAAACTGAATGCTCCATTAGACTACGAAAAGGAGAACCTGTACCACATGTTCATGGTTTGTGAAGTGAGTATTTGACGCAAAGAACAGTATCTTCAATTTATCTTTCTACGAATCAAATGAAATGAATATTCTTCAGTACGCAAAAGTTGAAACTGACTTGGACACAAGAAATCTCGTCTCTGTTGAGCTTTTGATCAAAGTGGAAGGCGAACAAGATACTCCACCGATTTTCACTTACGCTCCTCCGCTGACTCGAGTCCCTGGAACTGTGAAACCCGTAAATATTTCCCCCAATTACTGTTCTTTTATTAATGTGTAATAGCAATAATAATGCTCCGTTTCCCGATTCATGAATGTATTCTTTTTCCAACGAAGGGAGACGAGTTAGTTCGTGTGAAGGCGAAAGACGCAGATTTAGGCCAAAACCCTCGGGAAATCAGGTACTCTTTGTGGCAATCCCCGGACAATCCTTGGCTTCAATTCTTCCACATCGGAGAGAAAAATGGTTAGCAAACCTTTTTGGCAGTTATTCACATCATCACGTGTGATCAAAGACGCTGAAGTGAAAATTATTTTCAAGGTTCGGTGACATTGAAAGCAAAGTTGGATGATCTGTTGGAAGCCGTCGAAAGCGAATGCGTGGTTATGCTGACGATAGAAGCCGAGGAGTTGATCACGTCCGAAACGGATTTCAACAGTGCCAATCAAGCAACCAAAACCACTATTGGCTTCGTCATGGACGAAGCGAGAGTCAGAAATCCGCCCTCATTTTCCACAGAATCGTAAATTACAATCTATACGCAAAAAAAAATAATGTATGTAAGCTTCAACATGATTATTTCTGTTGTTGTTGTTGACAGAATATTCGCATCAGTCAAAGAGCATTCACCCAGTGGAACCGAGGTGTTGTATTCAGGAACCAACACGAGGCCATACGTCATCAACCCAAACGCAGTCAGTTCATTAATCAATTAAATGATTTATTGACCATCGAGTCGTGACTGCTGGTTGATTGGGGAATGTGACATTTGTGTTTGTTTGAAAGGATGGAAGATCAGTGGTTCAAGTGGCAATTACAGACGACGACAATGGATTATTCGAAGTCAGTCCGACGGTAATGACTCAGGGAATGCAAGACATACAAATCAGGGTCAAAGACAGCTCGAAACTCGACTACGAAAAGATGACTGAAGCCACATTCAAGGTTCGATTTTTTTTNGTCGTGACTGCTGGTTGATTGGGGAATGTGAAATTTGTGTTTGTTTGAAAGGATGGAAGATCAGTGGTTCAAGTGGCAATTACAGACGACGACAATGGATTATTCGAAGTCAGTCCGACGGTAATGACTCAGGGAATGCAAGACATACAAATCAGGGTCAAAGACAGCTCGAAACTCGACTACGAAAAGATGACTGAAGCCACATTCAAGGTTCGATTTTTTTTTCTTTATTCGAAAATTTGTGAAGGGAATAACCACTTTTTTGTTTAAGAAAGCCTTTTTTTAATGTTTATTTAACAATTAGGGCGCGTCTTGCGTACGAAGTTGCACCTGCATTGCAATTGTTGGCGCTGAAGATTCGCAAATGAAATCCATGATAGATTTTGACTAGCATAATCAATAGTATACTTCAGCAAATTGAATTCAATAAATCTTTGCGAAACCTTTCAGTTCATGGAATGTAACGACAAAATTCAATTCATTTTTGCAACTTTTAGTGAAGATCAAGCTGGTAAGAGGAAACTGAAACTTGATAATAAATGTTCCGCTGAATCTGAAAGCAAGAAAATCACGAATATTATGTCGCATCGTTCAAATGTTGAAAATTTTCTTTCATTTTTGAGGTCTTAAAATTAGAGGTGTGTCTTGTAATCGAAGGTGTCCCATTTAGTAAACAGTATAGCATTTGAAAAAAATGATAATCGCCCATCAACAAAAAACATACTGAAAAAATCAGACAGGAAGAAAACGTGACAAGCTTGAAAATTTGCTCATGCTCTGTGTAAAATTAATTTTATTGAATGAAAAAAACATGAAATAAATACTGTATCATAAGTAAAAATCCGTTTTTCGTGCACGGATTCGCGAATGGATTTTTTTTTTGTGCGGCCATTTCTTGGTGTGCATTTTTTCTCCTGAATTATTTTCTCATAAATGCTTCTCACCTGACGCGAAATACGTTATCTTCAAATGTTCTTGAAATTTTTACTTCAGTTGCTTGCCTACCGAGTCGGCAACGGATTGTCAACAACTGTCACTACAGAAGTGACCGTGAAAATCGAAGACGTCAACGACAACGCCCCGGTTTTTTCGAAAACCAGATACTTCGCCCAGGTGCCAGAGGATGCCAAAAGTGGCACTCAAATTATTCAGGTAAGTAAACCGCTTTCAAAATCAATTATCGTTATCGAATTTTGGGAATTTTTGGGCAATTTTTTCGCGAAGTTTTAATCTCATCGTCTCCTGCAGTTTTCTGCTACAGACGCGGACTCTCCAGACACGGCGTTTGGTCAAGTGCTGTTCACTCGACTTGACGGGCCAAATTTGGATAAATTCATTTTGGAACAATCTTCTGGGATCCTGAAAATCGCCCGGAACCCATTGTTTGATCGTGAGACAATACCAGGTGGGGAAATTTCTTGGGAAATTCTCTGAATATTTTATGAACGAGCAAAAATAATATCGATATGTTTTTTTATGGGATACAAAACTTGAAAATATAGCTTCGCTGAGCAAAAAAAAATATCAAAACCTGATTGTTTTCCTGATCTTTTATTGCAGTAATCCATTGGTTCCATTAAGGGGACTTTTGAAGATGATCCCCAGAAAAAAAGAAGAAAACATATTTTTTCATACGAAATATAAAGCGGAAAGTCGTTAAATTTAACGACTTTCAAACTTCCATGTTGAAAGGAACGTCAGCGTTGAAAAGCTGTTTGGGTTATTGGACTGAGAGAGTCTAATGAAACTGTCAAAAATTTCTTGAAAATATGCGTCATTTTCCATTCTTTTAAGCAGAGTTAATGCACATATTTTAATAAAAATGCCTCTGGGAGATATATTGAAAATTTCGAATTCGAAACAAGTATTTAAGGCTGCAATTTTCTTCCCCTGGCCCCATCATGAAACCTCGCAACAAATCGAAGATGCATGAAGAAAGTCTTTCTTCGTGCTTTTTTCTAGAGAGGAATGTCACTTTGAAATCTTTGACGCGAAATTTTAGAAAATTGGATCGTATAGTCGTGCATTTTTTAACTAATTTTGATGGAATGAATACAATTGCAGAAGGAAGATCGAAGTGCTATACTGTACAATAATCGTCTATTCGTTCAAAAAATTTCCAAACAGAGTACACATATACCGTGGAAGCAAGGGATAACAATGGCGATGGAAACTTGGCGACGGCTGAACTAGTTTTGCAAATAACAGACGTCAACGACAATCCTCCAAAATTTGCGCAGAGAATGTACGCCGGTGTTTTGAATCCGGGAATGCTCACGTTTCAAACCAAAATCACTGTCAAGGTCAGTTACAAATCATCATCTTTCGCAAAATGAATATCTTTACATATAAATTTACGGATTTTTTTTTCTTAAGGCCGAAGACGCAGACGAAGGATCAAACGGCGAGGTCTTGTACGCAATCGAAAAAGGAAATGAGAATAATTTGTTCATGATCAACTCGAAGACAGGTGATTATTTTTCATCGTGGATTCAAGTTCAACCTTTGAAAAGCGATCTTTCTTTTTTTTAGGTGAAATAAATGTACGTTCCGAGTCCCCAATCTTCGACCAGCTGACGATCTATTCAAACCCGGACGACGCTGCCAAAAGAAACCGCGGAGTCAATGACAATTACGTCATTGTTTTGATTGTGAAAGCTTACGACAAAGGTGAGTGTTTTTAACTGAATAATAGACTTTTAATGTACCTCAAATAGTTTTTCAATCCAAGTAAAAACGAGATCATGGCATCTCAATTGTATTCCAGGAAATATACAAGCTGCAGTTTTAATTTTTTGCGCACTTTTGAATCAAGTGTCACTCTCAGAAATTGTGAAATACAATTCAAAACGATATCACAAAATTGAGCTACTCTACAGAAGCCGAATCAGTCATATTCCGGTTTTTTTTTCATTCATTAAAATATTTTAATTCCACGTGTATTCACATGTTTTTCATATAGGAAATCCGAGCATGTACTCGACAGTACCCGTGGAAATCTACACTCAAGAAACCGTGGAAAGAACACTGCGCTTTGTTCTACCTCATTCAGTGGCACAAATCAGAGGAAATCAGACGGCATTCGAACAAATGTTGAAGGCCATTTCAGGTGGACGAAGAGTGGATATTGTCAATGTCGATCCTTACAACGGAGACGCTGACGCTAGTTTGAACAACATACCCGACGCTCCTTCGAAGGGGAAGTCAGTAAACAAAACTTTATCAAAATAATGTGCCTTTGAAAAGGCACATCTCAAAATCAACAATTTCGATTTTTGCAGGAGCATCGTTACAGCGAGTGTACTTCTGCCTGTCAACGCATTGGTCGACGTGGCTCAAATTGTGAGCAGTGTCTCGCAGAGTGAACAAGATCCAGTAAGTTATCTTTTTCTTTTTCAAATCGTCCTTTTATGCATGGAATATCATAATCCTTTCAAACGAAAATGAATATGAATTTGTCGATACAGAAAGCTGCACATATTTTTCTCAAAAAGATAAGACTGTCTTGATAACAAATACTTTAAACAAACGGCGCTTTATGAGTGTTCAATGATCTGGTTTTATTTAGGCGAAAAAATTAAAGTTTGATGTTCAAACTATTTTCCATAATTTTGATCTAAATTATAAAATCGTTATACGTTTTGATTGATATATATTCGGATACTTGGTATTGGCAATTAAGAACGTGTGCCTCAAAACAGTGTATGATAATAACGTGGAACAAGAGTGAAGCACACCATTAGACATTTTTCTCACACAGCAGCATTTCAAGGTATGAAAATAGGTTCACATTTCATTTTTTTTTCTTTCTATGATTATATTTTACTCGATTTAGAAAAAAAGCCTTTAAACAAGGACTACCCTTCACAAACCAAAATACGTCTCCGTCCTAGATAAATACATTTCTATGCTCACTGTTCCGTAATAAACTGTTTTCGTTTCGAACGTGTTGCGACTGTACATAGACATTATTTTTTACTTCGCGCTTCGAGACACTCTTGATTTTTGATCACGATTTTGGATGCTGGAACTTCAGCGTGAAATTTCAGAGCTATAGGAAAGGTATTTTATTTATTTTTTACATTTTCGCTTCGAGACACACCTGCTTTTTAATCACGATTTTTGGTTAAACCTAGATGGGATATTTCAAAACTTGAAATAGTATTTTAATTTTTTTTATGTTTATTGCTGAGCAGGAAGTGAGAGAACTTCGAGCAGCCAACACAGACCTTCTGGCGATCATCATCGCACTGACAGTTATCCTTCTATTTATCATCATCCTGCTGATTATCTGGCTGATCAACAAATGTTTATTGCTGAGCAGGAAGTGAGAGAACTTCGAGCAGCCAACACAGACCTTCTGGCGATCATCATCGCACTGACAGTTATCCTTCTGTTCATCATCATCCTGCTGATTATCTGGCTGATCAACAAGCGCAAGTGAGTCATGCGCCTTCATTGATGTTTCGTCAAAATGATTAATACAAGAACTTGATTTTCGTCATTGCATTTCTTCGCAGCAAAATGAAGGAGAACGAGAAGGCCATGCTGTTGAAGGACGAAGAGAGCAACAATAATAGCAACGGTGAAGCCCTGAATTTGCGGCAGAGAATCCAGCAAGTGTTTTCTCCAGGCACTTATCAGCGCCCGATAGGTAGATCTTCTCCCGGTAAGCGGATCGCCCAGGGAACCCGTGTAGACGAAATCGAGCTCGAATAAGGCACCCGAAAACACACTCATCGTATCTACGTATATCTGTTCTTTTTATTTTATTTTCGACTATATTCATCGTATATCCCAGCTTGTCCATGTCGTTTCCACCAACCGAATATGTTTTGTAGTATACTGTATACATGCAGTGGAATGCACGCGCTGCTCTACTAACGTACCGTATTTACTCGAGTACCATATCACGCGCCTTCAAGTACGAGGAAGCGCACCTGTGAAGGTTTTCCAGTTAGAAATTAGGATAAAATGTTATCCCCGAATATAAGACTTGCAATATGGAATTTAATAGACATCACATGAATTATGAACCTGAATCCTGCTTATTTTCAAATTTTCCCTTCGAAATAACTTTTTTTCTGTTAAACTTGGTCTAATATTTCCCGTTTTGAATCAAGTGTACAGCAGCTCACCTAAATTCCTGGAAATTTTTGAAAAAAATTTTTAGCCGTCTATACCGCTTCTCCTCTCAAATTTTAGAAAAAGGTGTGCGTTTTTCTCAAATATAAATATTCTGTTGAACTTGGTCCAATATTTTCTGTTTGAAACAAGTATAATGATCACCTGAATTCCTACAAATTTTTGAGGAAAAATGTACCCGTCTATACCTTTACTTCTCTCGAAATTTAGAAAAAAGGTGCACGTGGTTCTCGAATATAAATACGGTATACAGACCCGCAAAAGTATGAGCTGATGTGGATGCTTGGTTAAATATTTTTCAAATTAAAGCGGGACAGCCTTAGAGCAAAGTATAAAGAATGAAATCCTGATGCTGTCCCGGAAAAACGACTCATTCTCCTCTGTGAAATTATACGACTTTTTGCACGTTTATGTACAATTAATCTAACAGACAACGGAGGGACAGGAATCCTTCTCTTCCAAGAGATGCTGATATTTTCCAACTTAATGCATACAATTTCAAATTCAAATTATGTAATTCTTGAGAAGGCTAAACATATTCCTCTATTCTCTTAGGAAGAGCTAAAAGTCTCAGTAAAAAATTATTACGGACAGATAAATCGACGTCGAGCAGCAGTTTAACATTCCCTTTTTTGAATATATGCATTTCTGATAAATACGAATTTTGTGATGATATGTACACAATTTTCCGAAATATAATTACTTTTGCGAGTCTGATAGTAGCGCGTGAACCACCCTGTAGAACATAGTTTCCACATTATACAGTATACACTTTTTCTCACACAATTTGACTTGTAGTCACTGTCGAATCGACCATTAATAAAATTCTCTCGATCAGTTGTGCTGAGTGTTTGCTTCATGAGTTGGTAGGAAATACACAAACCACGCTTCTTTTAGCCGCATGCTGTAGTGGACGTTAATTTTGAAAATTTTGTCAGATTAATGCAATAAATTAAAACAAAAACTTTTCAAGTAATGGAAATAAATAGTAGCGTAATTTCCTTTCATTTTTCAGTTCCAGTAGCAGCATCCTTTCTTGCAGTTGAAGAGACAAACGTCGCTTCAATTGTTTCGGAGCACTGCAGAGTTTTTTACTGCCTTGCGAAGAGCATTTGCTGGAATTCTTTCATATATATATTTCAGTTGCTGGGTGACTCGCAATGAAATTTAGTGCAATAGTCCATCTTTTTAGAATCTCAGCAGCGTTCTTCTTTTCGTCTTCTTTTCTGGGTGTGTGAAAATGTGTGCTTGAAGGTCGAGGTCGCGTCGGGATCTGGTCTCCAACACACGGCGGTGGAGATTCTTTGCCAGCAAGGGAGCGAAGGTATCAAAGAGCCGCAGGCAACCAGCAACAGCAGAGCTCTTTGATTCCTGGCAAGAGCAATGGAAGACGGTTTTTCATTGTCAGAGACGCTGATGGAATGGTCCGGGGGCCTGAAACGTTGCGTGAAGGAGAGCAATACATGTTGGAAGACATCGAAGATGAAGCAGGTTTGTTTTCATTTTTTCTAATGCTGAAATTATCTTTTATTCGTATAATCTGCTGCTTGGAAGGTTTTGGATTTCTGTTACCTTTCAAGTTTGTCACTTATTTCCTTGATCATGCATTCGCGACATTTAATTTTTTTAATATAAATCTTGAACACAATTCAGGCGTTTTGCCAGTTTTATTTTCATATGGCAGCTTTGGTGAGGGAAGTCCGCGAAATTTCCCAGAACCCGCCAAACTAAAATATCCCGTGATTTTTTTTCTTCATAGAGGAATTCTCAATAATTTTTTTCTCAGCGAGTATGTTTCAAAATCATTCTTTTTTATTCATTTGAAAATTCAATAAAACTTAATGTTTCACTCTGCAAAAACTCGTGCACTGAAAAATACATTCAAAGTGAGATATTTTTATTCAATCAAGTTTATTTCGTGGGCAATGTCAATGTGAGAAGTTTCTGATTTTTTTATGACTAGCCAGAAGTTCGTTTTATTCTTTAAGCTGTATATACAGTATCTTTTTTAACGTTAATTTCGAACGGTTTCAACCCCCATGTTGTAAAAATGAAAAAATTGATTCGGAATCGTGTCGGCCAGAAATATTTTCGAAGGCCCTCCAATTTTCATAGGTTCTACAGTGGATGTTGACATTATACTCAAAATTTTAAAATTTCCTTTTCCCTGGCCTCAATTACGCGTGATTTTAACATTTCATTTTTGATAACCTTCCCGTACTCTTACTCGAATGCTTTTGCCATTGATTTGTTTCTGCCGTTCGGATTCCACAAACCCATCCTTCCCACTTTCTACAATTTCATCGCACCTATTAAAAGTTGCGATTTAAAATATATTCTCTGTATCAAAAAATACATAACCTGGCAAAAAGGCATAGGTCAATTTTTGCAATGAAAAATTTAAATGAAATTGGTCTCAGGTTTCTGAAAAAAAGGTACGTATATAGTTTGGGCACATTTTATTCAAGAAAATATTTTTATTAAGAATTATTCAACCATCGCAAAAAAAACCTAAAGCCTTTCTTATAGACATTAAAAACGTGTTTAGAAAGTAAAAAACCAGTTGATATTCGTACTTAATTTTGGCGAAGGTCCGTGTCTTTGGAAAGCTGTTATGCTTATGCTCGCGGGAAGCCACGTGAACGTGTACGAAGATGACCAGTACAGACAACAACACGAGGCATTTTTCATTGACCCCGAATCAGGTCGTCGACACAGATTCTCCCAAATCGGCAACAGCCAGATCCTCACACTCGTCACGCCGAAACGGGGACGTCGAGAATCCGACGGGTTCCACGCTGACGACAGAGAAGGATACCATTCTTTGCCGTACAACAATGACGAACGTCAAGGGAACTGGCGTCAAGCCAGATCAGGTAGTGATAGTCAATTAATCGTTCCACTGGAAGAGTATCAACGGAATCAACTTGCTTCCGGTTTAGACGAGCGGATCGGCAAGGAAATGATCATGAACCGGTGAGTTGGATATATATGAACTCCATCATTCATGACTTTTTTTATCCTAGAACTCGACCATGTCCTTTAAGATAACTACAGCAATATTAATTTCTTTCAAAAGCTAAAAGTGTACAGCTTTGGGTACACATAAATAGCTTAAATGAGCCTACATAGACGTGGGAAACTCATTCTGATAGTGCCTCTAAAACTGCAATATTTCAGAAATAAGATTATAAGAACATCCAAGTTTGAATTTAGACAAGCATGAAGCCTTCATTCAATTAATGTTCAATTGTTTTCGCACAAAAATCGGTTTTTCTGATGAAAATTATTTCAAAATTTCCCATCAGAATCGAATATACACATAGAAGTTCTCAGCTTCTGAAACTTTTCTTGAATGTATCCCTGTCTATGAGGTGCAACCCATTTTCACCACACAATGTTGGGAAAAAAGGTACCCTTGGCACTCGAGTAAAAACGGAATGTACAGTATATTACAGTACATGTACTGTATATTCGCATTGAGATTAGGTGACGGTTTCGTCGCGAAAGTTATGCTTGGCGCGTCATCTACGGACGGAAAAAGAAACTTGATTCATTCATCGTGTAAACTCCAAAATGAGGTGTTTTTGTTAGTCGAAAGGAGATTAATGCTGTACAGTACTTTTATACCAAGAAGTGCTAGTTTCAAGTTCAGTACACTTTGAACGCTTCGAGTACCAATAATTCTGAAGAGATGCGAATGAAACATGCTGAATTTCAGGAGAGGGATTTTGACTCAAGAAAAGTCGTCGAAATATTCTGAAATATAAACCTCTTTTCTTTGTTATTTTATTGCAAATATTTTTTACCTCATTGCAGATTTGTTGGCTTTTTACAAACTGGGAAATGAAAGTTCCACTTTTTACTACCGAATTAAAATTCTGTTAGAGAGACATTGAGAGCAGATACAGTTCAAAGAAATGATCATTTTTGCCCATATGACTTTAAAAAAAAAAAAAAACCGCCTCGGATTTCAATGAAGACATACCATCTAAGTCCTAAGAGAAAGTGTAAAGTACCTTTGAATGCCATGGCTAATCCTGGACGTGTTTTAATCTTAGAAAATTAGGCCAACGAAAATTGTTGAAGCATTCATTTTCTCCGATGAAACAGGTTTATGGAACATCAGCAAAGTCAAGACGGCGTGGACGAAAATGGAAGGAGACGTCGAAAGATTCATACACCGATTGCTGAAGAAACTATGAGCGCACTTGAGCTGGAAATGAGAGATGGCCGAATGACTAAAGATGGCCGTCGTCGGTCGAACAGCGTCGGAAAGCAAATGGGCGCCTTGGAGGAGGAATCCGAAAGCAGGATCGGAATCGAAGATATCAACACGACAAAATTAGATCCCCCAGCGTCTCCTTTTGTCGGCTATGTTCATAACAAAGTGAGACCTCAGAACTGTGTTCCCTGCGTAATTACAGTATTCGTCATCGCACAAAAAAAAATAATAATCCGAGAAATGATGACGACAGGCTTTTTTTTCTGGCAAGCCAGCGCGTGATTTGAAGAATAACGTTCATTATTTTCAAACCAGAATAAATGCCGAAGAAAAAATTATTTTTCAGGATTGGATTAATGTGGAAAATTTGTCGAAATCTTATTCCCCTATTAATTTTACGAATATGTTCGAACTTCTACACGTTTCCCTTGATTGATTGATAAATATGCTTTATTTGCCACTGATTGTCAACATTCACAACTTTCAAAATATTTCGAACCGACCCCCCTCCCCCTCATCCCATGACAAGCACTCATATACCCCTTCAAAAATACGAATAAAATCTAAAAAGAAAAAACGATGCATCGCAGTACATACAAATGCATGAATTCCTTCATTTCGTCCTTTTTGACAGCATTGCACAACGCCAAACAATTAAATATCTCAATTTAAATCACGATGCATTTATTCAGCCAGCGTTCCAAGATGATTAAGATTTGATTGATAATTTTGGAAAAAGTCTTCGGCGACAAATCATGCAGGGATATTAGATTCTTCTAAAACGTTCTAATACGGATAACACGTTCTTCTTCAACACAGGTGTGACTTGAACTAAATGCATCTCACAAAGTTTCTGTCCAATTTCATCGTAGCACCTACAAATTAAAAACATTGAAGCGATTGGTTTTACCTGCAAAATTTAATGTCATCGAGAAAAAAGACAGTTTTTTCGCCGTCGCTTGCGCTCTCTTGATAACGAAAATGAGCACAATATTGAATTAGTTTTCAGCAGTGGAAAGCAGCAGCTTAAAGTCGTATTTTCGCAACGCGTCCGCGTCACTGCGTCAGGCTCGGCTTTTTATTCAAGTTTCCCGCATATTCGGCGATAATAATGATATATTTTTTTCTATGGAAAGGCCAGCAAACTTCGCCACAAGAGCAGCCTCGGAAGGCTTGACGAAGACGACAGTTTCCATCACACGCACTTGACTCGAAACAGTCAGAGCGTCATGTCAATGTACCCTCCTGGAGAAAATGCCTTGATGCAAGGACAGCAATTGTCGAGAAGAAACAGCATCGCAGCCATTGAAGGCATTGCGAGACGTAGAAGCAGTGCGAGTGCAAGAGCAGAATTGAGAAGAAATAGTACGGTGGGATTTGAAAATGTCAAATTCGGACCTTTGGACAGAAGCATGAATTACGACAGGTGAGTCGAAAAAAAATATTGATCGCTTTTCAATCACTCCTTGATTCAGAGACGCTGGAATACTTTTCAAAATTAAATCCCTGAACGAACGAGCAAAAGAGTATCGGGTGGGCAAAAAATTTGACGCAGCTTCACATTTTTGATATGTACAAAGATATTCTCGTATTATGTTATTTAAAATGTTGACAAGCAGGTAATTTAATATTCTTCCAAGACATGCGCATCGTTTCACTTTCAATGATTCGATCAACAAAAAAGTACAAAGCTCAAAGAGAAAAAAAAATTTCCGAAATTTCTGGTGAACGAGGGGTTTTCATTAGGTATGCCCTATTGTTTTGCATCCTACTAAATCAGTTATCATCAGAAAACCATGCCTTCTTTCCATTTATCATAGAATAATACGTCAGGGTTGTTTGCAAATGTTTTTTTTTAATTCCGAGAATCTTTCCGAAGAAATTAAAGAGAAAAAGCTCACAATACAGTTGTCCTGTACCAGTTCCTCGTAAAATTGGTTTTTTAAAAGAGAGATTTTTTGATTCAGCTTCGATTTCATTGAGTAAAAAAAAAATCCTGTTCAATATTTTCCAGTTCATCTCACTGTCATAAAACTATGCTTCATTATTCCACGTACCTTAATCGCGCATCTTTTTTTCGTTCGTGTTTATTCCCCGACTTGCCTTATTTGGGTTCACGTTCCTGACGCCGATTCGTGTCTTGATCACTTCCTGGATCTTGCTTTATGAGAAATACGAAAGATTTTTCGCGATTATATCGTTTTGATTGTAAAATATCAAAGGTCGTGGTCCAACTCGGTGGAGCCAGATGGCGACAGATCCGAGAAGCGGCGCCACAACAGCGACCCGAACGACGCGAGAATGGCGAAAAACAATGACTACATGCAGCAACAACAAGCGTCGTTTGACGACAGGAAACGTGGCAGCAGTGCCAAGGACTCGTTTTCTCCGGAAAATCATCGTCGGACGCGTCGTGATTCGAGCTATCAAGGTGGATCACGAAGAAACGATTGGTATCTCGGGTCTGATTCCGAATCCCCACTTCGTAGGAAGTTGCAACAGCCGTCGGAAGGTAATCACAATTAGTGTGATTACCGACATTAGTATTTTTTTGTGTCTGGTTTTCGTTGTACTGGACGTTATTGTAGACGTGCACGGTGATTCACGCTATATTCAAGAGACCACATGATACCTAAAATACCCCGGAAATGCTATGAAAATAAATATTTGTGATATTTCGGCAGATGAACAATGCGAATAAAGAAATCCTGTCAATTCGACAATTAAAAGAGTTTTTCGACGCTTCGAAAACTAAATCGTAAATTTCACCTTAAAAAAAAAACTGCGAAGACCAGCTAATATTTGGTACAGTTCGTATTTTTATGGCAATTCCGAGAATCGTGTTCCTGATGATATGATGCTTGCGATGCCAACATTTTCCCCAACATTCTCTTAATACTGAAGAACGATCTTTCTTGTGCTGAAAACGACATTATTTTTCTTCAATGTACAGGAAAGTATTTCAGCCACAAAAAATAACTTCTGCTATGAAAAGGAAAATAATTGATGGCGCCTTTAATTTTTCAAGGCGCCCAATATTTGTTATATAATTGTTGGGATGGAAATTCCGCTATTTTTTCAATTTTTAATCTTATTTTTACCGAAGTTTTTCTTTAAAATCGTCAAAACTTCCCAAATTGTTCACGGTTCCGTTGGAGAAATAGCGTGTGAAAATCTAGCAAATATTTGCTCAGCACGATGTTTTGCAAAAGTCCTATGAGGGCATCATTTGTTCAGTTCAGCGCGTCAGAATTACCGTAGTATTTGAAGTATGTAAATACTGTACCTTGGAAACATATTCGGGCTTCCGTTTTTGAAAAAAATGTTCTCAAAATCGAATTGGCTCGACTGTATACAAAAGAAAACGAAACCAAACAATTGAAATGGTTTTCACAGAAGAGCAACAGCACGCAAGAGTAGGAAGAAAAAGGTCGTCCACAGACGGAGGAACAGGAATCGGAGTTTTGAATTCCCCGAAGCAGCGAGACACGAATCGCACAAATCGTCATGATTATGCACAAGACGCCTTTTACAGAAATCGGTTGGAGCAGTCTGGGGCAAGACTGGAAAGTGCTTTGCAACAACAACAACAACAGCAGCAACAGCAAGTAAGTTCAACAATAAATAATAATCCAGAAGATGGCAAATATTCACCGGTTAAATCATAAATGGATTAGCGCAATGTTTCAATCATGGCTGCAATTCTGCACCTTTACAAGCTGTTTAATGCTCTATTTGCGGAGTTTTCACGAAACAGCAAGAACCGCAATTTTACAAAAATCTGCGCAGCGTTTAAAAAACTAAATATGATAGGGTATTGTATATTTAATGAAATTCTATATTTCTCAGGCATATTAAATCAATTTTGTATATTTCTGAAGTTTTTTCTGAAACATGAGTATCTTCGTTATTCTTCTCGCGGAGCTTTCACAAAAAAAGCAAGAAGCTAAATTTCACAATATTTTAGATCGTGTTTAAATTTTGAATAGAAGCGATAACATTTAATGATGGATCCCTTGCATAAACACATTTTTCTTTAATTTTATATATATGCGAAGCTGTTACGAAGCGAAAGAAGCCGAATTAAAAAAAAATTACATCGCGTTCAAATATCAAATTAAGGCGATTTTATCGAATGAAAAAATTTTTCAACAATCAGAATTTTCTTCACGAAGCTTTCAGAAACACGCAAAAAGCCGAATTTTGCAAAAATGCACAGTACTCGTAAATCGCATTCAGAATTCATACAAAAGCGATGATATTGAATGATGTACTCGTATTCCTTGAATGTCATAATTGGTTTATTGGTTTCTATATTATTTTCGTGGAGCTTTCACAAAACCGCAGCCGAAATGTCGAATTTACCAAACTTTCAGTTCACGATTGAAATTCAAATTCAAATTATAATATTCAATGAAATACAGTACATCTCGAATTGTCATCATTATCTCATTTATCGTTTCTTTTGAGAAGAGTCGCACAATTCCAACTTCTCTGCTATGATAGCTCAGCCTGGCAAATGAACTCTCGAGAACTCTGAATTACAGGAAGCTCACTTTTTTCTTTTTCATTTCGAACGTAGCTAATTCCAGACAAATCTTCATCGTTCCTCCCTCTCTCTATTTTTTGTTCTCTGACAGAAAAATTTGGAAAGAAGACAGAGCAAGGACACGAACGACATAATCGACAACAGCGAAGCCCGTCGCCGCCGGGCATCCCGCGAAGCCCGCCGCATGGCCAGCGGCTCCAACAACAACAACAACAACGCGTCAGCAGCACTCGCCTACAATAACAGGCTCAACGACGCGTCATCCCTGTCACTGTCCGACATCCGCGGCGAGGCTCAAATCCGGGAACTCCGTCGTCGCCGCGACGAGGCCGTGTCACGCGACGGGAACCGCGGCGACCTATTAGTTTGAGACGAGAGCCAATATAAAGAAATCACTATAATTTTGTTTTATATATATAGAAGTTGCCAAAGATTCACTGTTGGGATGGAACATAGGAAATGGTGCTTATGTTGAAACTGGACGGAAAAAAAGATGCTCCGTTTTATGGTGTCTCAATTCTCCCGTTCGTCGCGGCGCAAAATTTACGTGTATCCTGAAAAAAGCGGTTGAGAAAGAGGAAAAAATGGTGATTTTGAAATGTTTTTACTTGCATATGTTTATTCCTTCGGTATGATGTATGCTGTACATTTTCGCTCCAACATTTTTATTTCGCAGCATGCATTATTCCGCAATAAGTCTCCTCAAATATTTGGGATCACATCAGATTAATTTTATGAAAAAATGTATCTCTTTTTCCTTCAAAAATAATACTGTAAAATTCGAAGATTAGGTCAGACTTAAATTCAGCGCATGGAAGCTAAAATACTTGTGTTATTGGAAAGATAAGTACGGCCGGGTGAACACCTTGAAATAGTATATGAAAGCTTTTTTTCAGCTTCCAAATACAGATAATTACTGCGCAGAAGAAAACCACACAAAATCTGATCTTTTCGGCGTCAGAAGGAGTCGTTGAAGCAAAGAACAAGAACAATTCCAGCTTTACTGTAAACAGATGATGGGCGAAAAAACTCCGAAAAACGAAGCACAAAATTTGTCCGTTTTCGATGAAAGATGGACAAATTTGATCGTGAAATGTACTTTTTTTCTTTTTGTGAAAATGAAAAGCCAAACGCCTTCAAGAAGCGATATCAAAATGTCTAAAAATGAAATTCAATTCTTTCAATTTTTCTAGCAGTGTTGGCAGTGACAGTATCTCAAAACGCTTTATCTGGTTGTTGGGGCGATTTTTTCAGTTTTCAGTTTCCCCCCCAAGTCAAGTCGTATGTATGTTGGGAGGTCCGCATGTCGATGAGGTCCCTATGTACATTTCCGAAGGTCACGAACACGTCTGTAAATGGATTAAACTTGCAGCCAAAAATTGTTTCGCTGTTCGCGCACAAATAATCTCAACTAACGCTAATATGTTGCAGAACGGGGAATGTATTTCCGCACAAATATTACGAACTCTTCTCTCGGGTAAAATAGGGAACGATGATGATGATGTAACCGCGCAGAACATCAACTTCCTTCCCACTCGCAGTGTGTTAGTATTTCTCACGTCGAAAAAATAAAACGGTTCTTCCAAAATGAATCCACCACATAAATTATGCAGATAGAAGATGAGACAGCCGTACTAGGGTTTGCATATGAAGCCAGCAACGCAAGTAGATTCTCACACAAGACTTTTAAAATTCAGGTTCATCGAGGGTTCATTTCACGGCGTAAATACGTCACTTTTTATTGCATTCATATTCATATCGGGTAGAAAATAATTTTCGCGTCAACTCAGCCTGCCTTCAAACCCATCATCATATTTGCAGGCACTGATTTAGTTCGCGTAAAAAAAAAAATATATCTCGCCCGAAAAGCAGAAGTTAGCTAATATTGTGTGTACAAAACTCTGTCTATTAAAAGGATCCATTGCAATCGCAAATTCGCGAAAGCAAAAACAAACAAAAAATATATGATCCATCGAAAGGGCCGTTACACGCAAGCGGCTATTTGAATAAAATAGAGCAAAATTTCGCTATTTTTTGGAAAACAAGTAATTGATGCAACTTTGCACTCACAGAAAATGTCCCAAGAACACATACAACACACATAGGGGGGTTCAAAATAAGCAGAGGAAAATCCAATATTTTTTTGAATGGAAAAAGTTTTTAGGCAGTCGCTGGAAAACGGCGAGTGTACTGGATATTGCATTGAATAAGGGGTAATAATTTTTGCGTGAAGAAGCTGGATTCTCGTGAAGTGTTAGGTCTGGATTAATGTTCGGGCTCGAGCTCCTCGCTTGTGCTACTGCTGTTTCGGGTCGACGAGGATGTTTGCAACGGGCCAGATAGACTCCAAGAAATTGACAAATTCTTCTTCATGCGGGCAGTGAGTGGCGGAATGGCGCTCCTCGGGATCAGGAAGCTCGACAGGTTGAAGAGGTCGCCGAAAATCTTGTATCGGTCACTGAAACACGGAAATTAATTTTTCTTAAAGGGGTGAAAGCAAGTTACAATATTTTCCGCGTGAAATGTCAACTGTCGGCTCTTTTCAATTTTTATACATTCAAAGCAGAATTTCAATGATCCGGGGATAAGGATTGATACCAGGCGACATCTAACGAGTCATTCAAAATTTAATCAATTCAAGAACGGCGAAACCAGGAATCAAAAGTAACCCGAATTATGCCTACAATTGCAGGAAAAGCTCTTCTCCTCGTGAATATCCACCTTGAAGTCCTGCCTAATTTTCATACATTTAAATCATCTGGTATAATAATCAGATGGCCTCTTCGACTTATTCAACAACTGAAAAAATGGAAACAATGGTTGAACTCTAGATTCGGAAATAACCTGAATAACTCTGACACGGGCTATATTGCCGCAAATATTTATAAGTATTTCCCGGATGCCCGTGCAAACGAATTTTGCAACAACAGAAAATTCCTGATGAGCAAGTTTCCGTTTCGAATACCTCACATTCAAGATAGGAATTCCCCACATTACAATTGAAAGAGGGAAAATTTGTTTTAAACCTTGTGAACTCTGACTAGCGGCGAGTGAAGCTTTTACTCCATATTCCTTCAATTTCCTGATGCCAAAAACGCTCGTCTAAATTCAAAATAAATTTGAGTTCACGTCATTCTGAGGAAGAAAACGTTGCTCGACAAAAACAATATCGCAAATATTCATTGCCCTTGGATATTAAGAAGAAGAAAAAATAGGTTTGAACAAAATCTTTCTTTTTTTCGGGATATTACGCGTCCGTGAATTCTAGCATGAATTATTTACGAAAGCTAAGGTATATTCTTACAGTTGATATAGCCAATAAAAGAGCTGTTGAACTTATTCGATAAATATTCAAAAGCGGCGGTTCTCACAACATTATATTCACGATTTCTTGGAAAACCAGATGGCAGCAAACGGGAACGATTTAAAAATAATGTCCAAGATTGATTTTTTTTAATAAGCCGATATTCCAGAGGATGACGATCAATGCAGACGTTCTCATCAGAATTCGAGTTTCCTGTCATCACACGCATTATAGTTACCCGAGTTTCAAGGCTATCAACAATGATTATTATCAGCACTCACCCCAGCGTCGACCTCAAGTACTGGTACCCAGAAGATCCGCCAGTGCCCATCTGTTGGATGCCGATCGTGCGTTTCACCAGCATCATGTGATTGTCTATAATGAAGAAATAAACGCTTTTTGGATTCAAGTTCACCTCGATTATTTCATTAAAAGTACCTGCAGGCATTATAATCATTTACTTTGAAAACTTGTCATCTCCGACTCCAATCAACTTTTCTGCTTCGTGTGTGCGAACGCCGCTCAACGTTCGTCTTACAATATTTAATTAAGACCTTATTTTTATGACACATCACGTAATCTCGGGCAGAGGTTCTTGTCGGGTTCATTTCAAGTCACATTATTTTACACAAATTTAGGTTCAAATAGGTTAATCAGGATTTTTATAAGAATCTGAAGAAAAAGCAGTTTCACGAAGAGATTAACCAATATTTATAGTAGTCTATCGAGCTTGACGCGTGAGCCTTAACTATTTGGCCCTTCGAGCGCTGTAAGAAGCGTGTCTTTATGTACAAAAGTTACAATTAGAATACGTCCTGCAGCTTCGTAGCCCTTCGCAGAGTTTCCAACCTTCACTGGGAAGGGATTCGAACAAGATTTTACCATGCGTATCAACGTGAGGATCGTCTCTATAGGGTCTAGACAAGATGGAATGATACGGCGGATGACCTACTCTGAGCTTCAGAAAAATGTTTCAAGAATGAAGTTTTGAATAGTATGGATATTTCGAAAGACACGGATTAAGTCGGAACCGGATACTAACATCTCTATCATTCAACTGGGCACAAAATCCGAGGCTCTCGTGAAAAGAAACGTGTCATTCTTGAACTTGGGGGGGGGGGGGGGGGGTTGTTTACAGACATTCATTTAGGAAACGTTATTTGACGGAAAGTATTCGACTTCCATGTCTCCCAAATGTCGGTTGGGATTATGATATTACGGGAGTTCGGACGGTAAAAATACAGTAAAGGGCAGGTTTTACATTATGATGCAGTCAAACATTTTCAAGTCGAACTTATTCAAGGTGGAACCAGTAAAAATGTTGAGCTACGAAGAATTCGAGTTACGGAAACAAGTATTTTTATGGTGGGAGAGAAAGAAAAATGAAAGGGAATTGTTATTGGTCATATTATTCTCGGCCTTGAATTGCTTTTCAAATGAGTTATCAGGATACTTAACTTATCAGAGGCAAAGCTGTATTTGCCCGAACAGCCTTTCAATTACTTTCAAAACACATCAAGTGACATTTTAATTCCTTTTCTCTTTCCTGATTGTTAAAAGAAAAAAGTAAAAAGGGCTGCAGGTAATTCGAGCTATGGAGTTTGAGGGGAATTCCTTTTGAATTGGGGAGATTTTTAATGCATCGTTTCTAAGAGAATTCAGACGGCACTTGAAAATCTTCGAAAGCCAACAAAAGTGTTACGGGTGCTACGAATCATACGATTAAAAGTCGGGAAGGGTTAATTTTTAAGATGAGGCTTATTTATAGAGTGAGATGCACAGTACTGTATTTTGCTTTACTTCGCGGCTTTTTTGATCAGCTCGCGATGAGAACCAAATGACAGCGGACTTACATCGCCATTTCGTGATAAGACTGTCGACGTCCATCAACAGGTTCAGTAGTTGATAGGGCATGTTGAACCGGGGTTCATCCCTGTAGAACGAGATCATCAAAGCGCCTTGAAGGGCACGATGCGAGAACCGACGCTCGCCGCGCTTCACAAGACCATTGTGAATGTCCACGTTGAAAATGGACTCGAATCGCTCAGAAGACGCTCGGAGTTCTTCTTTCAACTGCTCTCTTTGCGAGTCTGTCAACGATTCATCCTGAATAAAAAAGGAAGAATAATGGCTGAAACCTCAACTTCCTCAAGAAGTATACATCGCATATACTCAGCGAGGAAGATTAATTATGTCCGAATAATGGTCATTCTTCAAGATGTTTCGACACTTTCGAGACATTGCTAGAAACAAGATGTTCAACGGATCAAGATTAAAATAGCACAACGTGCTGGATGATTGTCTTCTCGCTTCACTACAAATTTACTTGACTTCATGATCGACAGGCAAAGCAAGGTCGCAGACACGTCACCGAAGAATGCGAAGATACATTTTAACCTTGCTGACACCTGATGTACGGCACATCAATGCAAGATAATGCTTTCGTCAATATTGCCTAGATGTCACCAAGATTCCGATGATTTTTTTATATACTGCACGTTCCAAACAAATTCGGGGAACAAAAATAGGTCCTACAAGAAGCTTCAGTGGCAAAATCGGAAAGCCATACGTAAAAGATTCAATTGTAATATTGACTTAACCCTTCATTGGTGTAAAGTTATTTTCCATTGCGCAGTGGTACCAGGACTTTTTTGCAGGCTTAGCGCGCTTTGGTTTGACGAATGGTCACCAAAAATGGCACCATAGGGCAGAGTGGCCCAAGCCAGGAAATATTGGGATAAGCCAAAGGAGGAAAATTTGCGAGGTCCACCGGACTCAAGTTAATCCTACGACTGAAGGCTTACAGAAATCCTGCCTTGGGAGAGTTTTTTTTTTATTCCCTCATTTTTTCCCTTTGCGCAAAAAGCTCGAAAAATATAGTTAGTTCACAACAGACTAAATTTGCCACTCCAATATTTTTTTTTCAATTTAAAAACGACTAGTAAGAAATCCCTGCTAATTTACCCTGGCACAGCCACCAAAGGGTTAACGTTCAATCATCATAGCTGCAGTTTCACATGGAACAAAAAGTCGATAATTTGGAGAGTGTCTTATGTTCGCCATTTTTTCTATCATAAAGTTTTCCTGTGGGGTGATTGTGCTGAAATGAATTTAGTCTTTACAGAGAAGGTCCTCTGCGTTATTCATCAATTGCATACCCTTCCCTGATGTTCTCCTTGAAATTGCTGACCGCATTGAAATCAAATAAATCTCCGTTTTAAATTCCTGAAAAAATTTTATGCATTTTATTATTTCTGCATTAGTTCGTGCCTTTCGAGAATCAATAAAATTTTAGTTTCGCAGCCAAGATGAAGCATAACATAACATACCTGGGCATCCTTGGCCAGTTTCGCCAACATGGCTTTGATGACGGCCTGGAATTTGTTCCAGAAATTGAACCCAGGATTGGAGCTATCAGGTGAGTAGTCCTCCAAGCCCGGGGTGCGTTCAAGCCACCGCTGAACCAGGTCACACAAGGAAGGTTCCTGCTCACTTTTGTCCAGCATGTCCAGGGCACCCAAGGATGCATGAGCCTTATCCTCTTTGAAGGCATTGTTGAACCTCTCCGGGTTCGCACTGTATTTCGGACCCTTCATGGAAACAAGTCAGACAGGTGAATTCCCGTAAAATTAATCACGCATGCTGGACTCGGAATTGAACTTGGGATTCTCACAATTAATACAAATGGTTTTCTTTGAAATCTTGGGAGGACCAGAAAAAAGTGTTAGCTTTACACTACAGTGTATGATTTTTCCTCAAAGATTCTTCATAACTTGTTCAATTCATTGATAAATTTCCGGAAACAGACTGCACACTTCGTGCTCTAAATTGTGAATGCATTGATAGGTTGGTTTCAGCTATATACAGTATATGGAAATATCTTTCAAAAGAAATCCCTTGTATACTGTATGCAAAATTTTCTCCACCTGCATTACATAATGTTATTCAATCACAAGGGTCATGAATGAGCCAATATTACATACCGATTTCACACCGATCTTGTTTTCCATGAGTCTGAACTGGAGACTCTGGAATCCTGAGCCAGGGCGCAAAAAATCACGAAACTCGTTGAAGTCCAAAGGGGTCATTGTCTCCAGAACGAGGACGTGATCCACCAGTAGCTACCGGCAATGGAAACCGCGCGAGAAACATTTATCATATAATCTGGGCTCCTCACAATATTGAAGAAAAAAGGAATTAATTTCAAAGGAACGAATTGTTGGAACAGTACTTTTAAAATTTGCACCACACGGTTCATCATTTTGAGAATGTCCAGCATTTTTGTATCGTCCACCACTTCGCTGTTGAACGTCGCTCGAACATGATCGATTTCGTAGATGATCTGCTTGAACCATAGTTCATGAGCTGCAATGAATAAGAATTATAAAATGTGAAAAATGCGAGACACTGGTGGAATCTGAAGAATATTTTAGGAAACAACATTTCCGAATTTACAGCAATCACTTTTTTTTTTGCAGAAAAGGTACAGCTTATTCACCAGTTTAAACATCAGGTCTCCCAAGCTAGACCGAAATATTTTTACGAAGAACTTTCGCTATCACGCAGAAAAAAAGAACCTATAAAACCAAATTCCACTTCCTTGACATCCGTTCGCTAATGGATGGTCCAGATATTTGTTTAGAACATGCAAATTAGATATTGTAATATCCAAGATTTTAAAGCAAGAACCTTTCGAACACCGCACAATCAATAATAGGCCTTGAAGACATGTGGCTTTATTTTGGGAGGATTTTTTTTTTAATTGCAGCGTTGAATCATGCAAGTTGATCAGAAAATATTAACAGCAGTACCGTGAAAAACGTCTACGATCAGCACCTTTTTTTTTAAATTAGCATCGTTATCAGACCTGGGAGCTGGGACATGACCACAACAAATCATTTCAAGTATCCTAACCTAAACAGTCAGCAAATGCATAAACTGAATAAGTCTGGCAAGTATACTTAATTTCCCAACATGGATGGACCGGAATTCCTGCTTGTAATTGTTACTCCTCAAGTTTTTGAAACAAAAATGCGAATATATTAACTAGATAATGAGGGTGGCGATGAAAAAAATGGAATATTACTCAACGAAAATTACTTCCATCTGCATTTATTCAACAAGGAAGGAGTAGGACTAAAAATCGTTTGAACCAAATCTCTCCATCGTTCATGAATATCATGATTATTGAAGAATAAAAAAGGGGAGACAACTTCATACTATGCGCACTCATCATGTTTTTTTTTTCCAGTCAAATCCTGGTTCAGAGGAGACACGTCGCCGAATTGAAAGGATCTCATTTTCTGTTCTGTAACGTTTTTTTTTTATACGAAGAATTTCTCAAAAACTTGTCCTACTCCATGAACCTGGAAGCTTTACAGAAGGTGAACTTGATCCACTTCGGAAAACCAGGTCCTTTTACGGAAAGCAGTCCGCTTTCTAAAGTCGTCGCATATGCGTCTTATTTCCATACCGTGTACTTTATAGAGCATCATGGATTAAAAGAAAAATTGTAGAATACCTTGGTGTGTGATGATGAACAAGTGCTCCTCGTGCACCTGCGACAGAGGGGTTTGGCATGTCAACAACTTGTCAAGTTGCAAGTACTCGCCGTACATTTTTCCACCTCGGGCAGGCGAAAGGCTGCGCAGCAGTCGTAGCAGGCGTAAACGCCCGGACGTTAGTGCCTTTTTATGATGTGTACAATTGTGAACCGAAAAGATCATAAAGAGCATGTCACGTGAACAACTTACTATTTGAACCGAGATTCTAAGCCTTTCCACACAGCAGAAGTATGCAGTCAAACCTCTCTTAAGTCAGCTTTCAGGGGACCAGCAAAAATAAATAAAAAATAAAACTCGACTCGGGCAGGTTTGAGTTACGGAACAACGCCTTTTTTTCTGTGGGAAACATAGAATTGCAGGAAATTGTAAATGGTGATATTCGGGGCCTGAAATTGCTTCTAAAATGAGTTGACGGGATTCTGAATGCTGAGACAGGGGTGCATTTGCCCAATTCAGTCTTTTTATTCCTTTTAAAACATATGGAATTCAATTTTTCCTTGATTTTATCTTTCCTGTGTCTAGAAAATATTAGCCGAAATGCCCCTGAAAATTCGACTTATATGGAGGTTTGAGAAGAAAAACCTTTGATTTATAGGGAGGTTTTCCAAGTCACTTTTTCCTAGGGAATTCATAGGGAGGCTTGAGGTTCGAGTTACTGAGGTTCAGCAGTAGAATTAATCGCTATAGAGGTTCAGGTATTCTCTCGGGAATTACAGTGGCCATTACACAGCTCCTCTTGATTGATGACTGAGTTCGTTGTTGGGAATATAAATATATAGTAAAACTTGCCCTGGAATCCTGGATACCATCATGCGGAAAAGATATTCCTTCGTGATGGATTAGGGTTATCATGTGTTACATAAGACAAGCAGATGAATAATTGAGCTTCTTGCAAGTAGGCAGCCGTACGAAAGTAGAGTATACCCGATTCCGAAATTTAAGACTTCGAGCAAAGCTTATATTAGTTACCGGATCGAAAACTCCTACAATGCATTGAGTTTTTAGCACTGCTATGCAAAATAAATTATCTTGACCGTTCAACCCAAAAAAAAGGGTTAACCCATTCATATGATGGAGAGTCTTGAATCTCAACGGGTGACAAGCACATTTCATTTTTCTACGAAGGGCATTTGATCTTACAGAATCCGAGCTTATATATCCTGGATGTTACAATTCCTCTCATTTTTTTTAGAATAAGGAATATATTATGCAGTAAATAAAAAATACGTTTTCTACCTTGGAAGGTTTGAGGATGAGGGAAACCCTGGGAGTGTAAAATATCAAAACCGGTCGTTTGTCATTCAAAATTGCATTCCTCGACAGCTATACCTGCGCATTCAGGGATACAGTCCTTGACAGTAATTTGATTACTGAGTGAATGCTCATAAAACAGGATTTACAAACGTGCATAAACGTCACAATAGTTCAGCGGAACGCATCCACACTTGAAACGATTGGTTGATAAGGCACTTGGGGTTTCATATGCTTTCTTTTCATCAGAATAAACAGGAAACTCTGGCAAAAAAAAAACTTGTTGACACAAGTGTGACCTTCTATGGAACCTGCATGCAAAAGGTATCATGGTGCAACTCGGTTCACTGTACAATATGCCTTCGGAGATCTCGAGATTTAAATCTTCGACTCGGGTGGTCAGCAGGACACATGCACAATCGACCCTTTGCTGAAGATGTCAATCAGCAATAAAAGGTCCTTGGTGGTGAGAGAACGAAGGTTACTCGTATAGTGTCACAACGACTTCGGTAAAAA